CAAAAGTCATCTTGCTTCTATAAAGCTTACAAGATTTTAATCATTGCTCTCAGGAATCAATGACTATGGCAAATTGATATAGGTTTGTATATGTGTGTGTCTTCGGGTGTGTGTGTGTGGATGTGTATAGTATAAATTTGTCCCATTTATAAAATACAATAAATTAACCGTGCTGATATTACCACTGGGCTTACAGATGGAAACATAACATTTAAATACAGAACAACGAAACAATTCATACAGTAGGTCAATAAATTAATGCAGTTATTAATTCTTTCTTTACTCTTTGTTCCTCTTATGTACCTAGATAATTCTGACTAAATGTCATAATTGTTTCTTTCCAAATATTTTTGTTAATAAAATGGAAAAGGGTTAAAATTGCTGCTGTTTGCTGCTGCTGCTAGTATTACTACTATTATATTATAATCAACAATATTTTAGGAGACAGTGGAACGAACGTGGAGAAAATCAGTAGATGGATGGAAGAGAAAGATATTTCCAGGAAAGAGAAAGAAAAGAATGATGGAGAAGCCACAAGAAGTGCAATTAATAATTCAGGTACTGTAACTCACAAGAAGTTGAATGTTATTGTAAAGTGTATGGGATACAAATATCATGGGTTTGTGGATTGGATGATTGCAATTATTGCATCTTTTACATTCACACAATAAAGGACTACAGATGATGCAGCGCTACTGCAATTCTACACACATTCCCGTTCACTTTTGAACACAGAATTGTGTTCTGATGTTTATCTAGACTATCCTGTCAACAGGTTTATCACAGTCTTGCTGACAATTCAATTAAGACACGTAGTTTACACGGCAGAGTCTAGTTCTTTTCCTGCCATTTGTTCTCCATCACCTTTGACCACTATCTCCAGAAATCATCAGAATTCAATTCCTCATAATCCAACAGGCTGGAATCCTGAAACTTGGCACTTAATGCATGGTTCTGAGAAGTAATTCTGTCCCACTAACATACAGTGCAGGCCCTTAGTGTTGTGAGTCTTTGATACTCTCGCACTTTACAGACAATCAGCTCACAGATGACAGTGAGATTGTCAGCTTTACATGCTGTTTGCCTTGTACTGCCCAGGATGATTACAGATACTCATTTGTGATAGAGTTTCATTTGACCGCAGGGTCATAGGGAGACTTGAATATTTAAAACAGTTCATTTCTTAATATAAAACAATGCCAGAATATCTGTCAAAAACTAATCATCTACCTTCCTTCTACAACACTTAGTATTTGATATGGCGTTAACCACATAGTAAAGTCTGTGTGAACGTGTTTATCGAACCATTGCTTAGAAGTGGTATTCTCTTGTGGTGTGTGTGTGTTCCAGCTGGTTAGAGATGGGGAAACACGAATTTATCTCATAATCATCCTTTTGTTTTCCCAAAGCAAGGAAAGTAAGCTGGTTAAGACAAACTGGTACAATAAGTCGGTTATGTTTTGCTTCTTTACAAGAAATTGCAA